GGAGGCTATCTTGTCCTTATTGTCTTCATCGAACTGATGCGTTTCAGCTAAAACATGGTAGAAAAACTTGTTGGTTTGATTGTCACCGAAGGTTTTTACCGGATAACCATCCATATCGGAGGAACAAGAGGTTATTTTTGAAGAACAAAAGTGTACGTGTTCCTCCTCCCGTTAATTTAACAGGAGCTGATATACAGGCGCAAATAGATCATTGGAGGGCAGAAGAAACAGTAACTCGTGGGGGAAACTGGCACACTCCTACAAATATGCCTGAAGGTTATGGAGTTCATCATAATTGGCACAAGAAAAGTATCTTCTGGCAACTACCTTATTGGAAAGATCATCTGCTCAGACACAATCTTGATGTCATGCACATTGAAAAAAACTTTTTTGATAATATCATGCATACAATTATGAACGTAGCGGGAAGAACAAAAGACAATGGTAAATCAAGATTGGATTTGCCTGATTTATGCAACAGAAGTGAGTTGCATCTGAGAAACGGGAAAGCACCAGTTCCTGTATTTCGGTTGAGTGCAGATCAAAAGTCAGCACTGTTCAGATGGGTTTCTTCTGACGTTAAATTTCCTGATGGGTATGTCTCTAATCTTTCCAAATCTGTTGAGAAGGGGGTAAAGTTTGCTGGGATGAAAAGCCATGACTGCCATGTCTTTATGCAACGATTATTTCCATTTGCATTTGCTGAACTCTTGCCCAAAAACGTCCATGAAGCTATTGGAGGCATTGGTGCTTTTTTCGGGATCTTAGTACACGAACATTATCAGTTTATGTAATATCACAACTAGCATTGAATATTCCAATCTTGTTGTGCAATATGGAAAAGATCTTCCCACCATCATTTTTTGATGTTATGGAACATCTTCATGTTCATCTCCCATACGAAGCAGAGCTCGGTGGACCCGTTCAGTACAGGTGGATGTATCCGTTCGAGCGTTTCATGAAGCATCTTAAAGGCAAAGCCAAAAATCTAGCTAAAGTGGAAGGCTCAATTGTGGCGGGAAGCTTAACGCAAGAGACTTCACACTTCACGTCATACTATTTTGCACCGAAAGTACGAACACGCAAAAGAGCAACTCGTCGATATGATGATGGAGGAGTTGGCCATACATATGCCGTTGAAGGTGTACCTGACATATTCTCGCCGATCGGACGTCTTAGTGGAAAACTAAAAGATGTTTGGTGGTCCAATGAAAAAGATTATCACAGTGCACATACGTATATCCTGTTAAATTGTGAAGAGTTGTCATCGTATGAAAGGTACCTTTTTAATTAATAATATCTTTATATGAGTTGTCAGTATTAATTACTATTTGTTGTTTTTTGCAGCACATTTGTTAATGAGGTTAAAGAATGCATATCTGGGGTTTCTGAAACTGAAATCAATGATCGTAAAGATCAACACTATGCCCAGTGGTTAAAAGGGCAAGTACGTAGAAAATTTTAATTAAAAGACTACTTTAATTTGCTATATATCGAAATCAAGATATCAAAGCAGAATTTTTTTCTTATTAGGTGGACCCGAATGACCCGGATGAATTTCCAACATGGTTCCATGAGTTACTACTAGGTCCGATGGCAAAAATAACTACAGCCTCAATGTATTTCACTCGGGGCTATGTTTTTCACACATACCGTCACGGTGCAAAGCGGGCGACAACAAACTATGGAGTTTGTGTGAGGGGTGAAATCGATTTTTATGGAGTTCTGCAAGAAATAATTGAAGTAGAGTATCCTGGATTGTTAAGGCTGAAAACTGTTCTCTTCAAATGTGATTGGTTTGATCCAACTGTTGGACGAGGGGTACGTCTAAACAAGTTTGGAGTTGTTGACGTGAACAAATCACGACGGTACAACAGGTTTGAGCCATTTATATTAGCTTCTCAAGCAGAACAGGTAACGTTTCTGCCATACCCGAGAGTTCGATCCACAGGAATTTCATGGTTAGCTGTAGTTAAAGTGGCTCCGAGGGGCAAGATTGTAGGGGTTGAGGATGTTCCACTTCAACAGGACACATGCGTAGATCTGTCTGAACCAGATGTTGATGAGGAGATTTTCTTAATAGACCCTCGAAACAGACAACTTGAAGATCTTCCCGATGATACAGAAGAAGAAGGTGATGATGAGTTTGCTGAAACCGATGATGACGATTTGGCGGAAGAAGACGGTGATGGTGATGAAGTAATAGAGGAAGATGAATCTGATTGAATTTCATGCATTGCATTTAGTGAATGTTTGTTATTATCGAACTTTTAGAACACAGTAATAATTTATGCTAAGAAACTCATCGACCCATAGTGTTCCCTCCTTGGTCGATGAGTTTCTTAGCATAAATTTGATTATACGACGGTTTTACGACGACTCAATTTTACGACGGTTTTATGACGATTTGTCTAAACCCTAAACCCTAAGTCTAGGGTTTAATGCCCTGAATGAATAGGGTTTAGACATTACGACGTCTTTACGACGAACCATCGTAATGTCATCGTAACGTTACGACGGTTTTACGACGAGTACACTAGTTCGTCGTAAAACCGTCGTAATGTTGAAATCCAAGAATTTGAATCTTTTCTATCTTATTGGTTGTAAGGTATTTCACAATTGTTTTTGATTGGTTATCTTATTTTATATGAAATGCTATCAATCTGATCAAAATTAAAAATTTGAAAAAAAACATACATATTTATAAGGTCATGCATATTTTCGTAAATGTTAAGTGAAAGGTTATATATTTGATTACGGAATTTCATTTTTTACTATCTCATGTCATAAATTCATCATACATGCAAAGTTGTAAACCTTTTATGATATGTTAGGATACAATAACCTCTGCATTGTTCTTTATGCAATATCCCATTTATAAGATTTAGGGTTTACTCACTTTTTTAAAAAACATCGTAAAACCGTCGTAATATAATCGTAACTATACGACGGTCGTACGACGATTAAACCCAAAATCGTCGTACAACCGTCGTAACGTTTGAACCGGATAGGCTCTTGATCCGAGGTACGAGGTTATTAAAGTTTAGACGTTACGACGGTTTTACGACGATTTTGGACTACTCGTCGTAAAACCGTCGTAAAGTTACGACGACTTCATGACGATGACATCACGACACGTGTCGTGTCATGCAGTGGACCGACTCTTATACAACCAAATCGTCGTAAAACCGTCGTAATGTTACGACGGTTTTACGACGATCACAAAATCTATATAAGGGACGCGAGTCCTCCCCATTTCGTCGCTCATTCCTCTCTTCTCCCCTCTCTCTCTACAATACTTTCTCTCTCTAAAAAAAAATCACTCCTTCTCTCCCTGCTCTCCAGCCATTACTTGTAAGTTTTTTTTTCTAAATTAATTTCATTACATATTTTTTTAGATTTAGGTTCGGAATTTAGATTTAGGTTCGGAATTTAGATTTAGGTTCGGAATTTAGATAGGTCCGGATTTTGTTAATTTTAATAAAATTAGTAACAAATTTTTTTTTTCCTTTTAATAGATTCTGTCGATATGGCTCCTCGGAAAAAGAGATTTCACTACCGACAGCTCTTCGATTCTGACGATTCGGTTCCGTCTACCTCGGCGACCGGCTCAGCCATCCCGGAGTCCTCGGGAACACAACAGACGGTTTCCCAACCGGTCGTTGTTCCGCAGCCACCACCGCCTCCACCACAACCAGTCGAACCAGCGGCTCCCGCACAGGCCGAGCCTGATCACGATGATCCTATCCCGCCTATACCGTATGCCCAGTATACGGTACACGATCTTCTGGCGCAACCCGGTCGTGGGAGCATGAACAAACTCGACCCGGATCGAGCCCCCGGCACCTATTGGTACGTAAATTTTCCCAACAATATTTTTAAATTAATTAATTTTTCGTCTAATATATTTGATATTAATTAACTATTTATTTTTTTATTTGACTAGGTTTACGACCGACAATGCAGTCGGTCGTAACGTTTCGGATATCATCAAGGGGTTTTTCGTACAACCCCATACCAGCTACAAGAAGCTGGATCGGGCCACACTTGACACTTGGTTCAAGTGTTTTGCGGTAAGTACTTTCCTTTAATTTTATTTTTAAATTTTATCTTTTTACAATAATTACTAACTTCTTTTTTTTTCCTAGCAAAACTGGCATTGGGAACCATCCGCACACGGACGTGTGGAGACGGCCTTCAAGGAGAAGGTCAAATTCCGCCTCAACAACACCGTTTCCGACTGGAAACGGAAGTGGGAGGACGAGGGCGACAAGGCCAAGCCGCCGCCTATGTCCAAGTTCGTCTGGCAGGGCCTTGTCCAGTTCTGGTCGGATCCAACCAACCAGACTACCGCCGCCAAGTGTTCCGTATCTAGGTAAGTCGTAGTTAATTTCATTAATATTTACATTATTTTTTTCCTTTTTTAATAGATTCTAATCAAAATATTTTTCAGGAACGCTACTGACGATGCGGGAAATAAGAAGAACGTCCCGCACACTTCCGGCCAGATTCCTTTTGCCGGAAGACGGCTTATGATGGTAAGCACATTGAAAAATCTTAAATTTTTTTTCTCAACTAATAATTAAACTCTTATTTCTTGATACTAATTAATTTTTTCTTTTTTATTTTGTAGGTCGAAGATAACGGAGGAGAACTTCCTCCGATGACGAAGGTTTTCGCCGAGACGCATAAAAAGCGTAACGGCGAATTCACGGATCCTCGGGCGGAGGAGATCTACAACGCCGCATGTGCGGCGATCGAGGAGCGACAGACGCAGCTGACTCAGCAGGCGCGTCAAACGTCTGACGGAGGTAGCTCGGTCCAATCGACCCCAGCGCTGACGGTCGCGGAGATGGACCAGATCTTCGAAGAGGTACGTAATTAATTATGAATACTTTTTTTAATTAATGTAACTTTAGTTTTAAATTAATTATATTCCTAACCATAATGTTTTTATATGTTTGTAGGTTGCCCCAAAGAAAAAGGGGCGGGTATTAGGGATGGGGTCCATCCGTGATACCCCGAGAGCTACGGCGACTGGTCACGTCCGGGCTCCGGCGGATCCGGTTATCCGCCAGGAGATCGATCAGATGCGGAACCAGTACGAGACGACGATCGACCGGTACGAGACGAAAATCGACATGCTCTACGGTCTTTTCGAGATCATGGGAGCCGACAACCCGGTACTCATGGCGCAGCTGGACAAGCTGAAGGCGGATGGGGTTCTCGGAGGATCGTCTGCCGTCGGGTCATCTACTAGGACTCGACCGCCGCCGGTGCAGACGGATGCGGAGATGTTCCGATCTCTCGGGGTCGACCCTCCTACAGCCGGAGCCGGAGATCAGGCGGCGGGACCATCAAACCGAAGACCCGGCAAGGAGCACGTCCAAGACGATGTCCAGGAGGCCGGTGACGGGATCGACGATATACATTTAGATTTAGATGACCTGTAGGGTTTTTTTTGTAAATTAAAATTTTTCAAATTGTAAATTATTTTTTTTTTTAAATTTTAATTCGAATTATTTTTTTTTTTTAAATTTTCAATTAATTTTTTTTTATTTTTCATATATATAAATCGTCGTATAATCGTCGTAATAGATTTATTCAAACCGTCGTAATGTCGTCGTACATATTACGACAACTTTACGACTATAATATACGACGACAAATACGACGATTATACGTCCGAGATTTACGACGATTTTACGACGCAATGAAGAAATACTTTACGACTGATTTAAGACGATTATTGCGTCGTACATTTTACGACGATCTTACGTCGATCATTAACAACCACTTAACGACGGTTTAGGTGAAGACCAAGTGGACGCAATTTGATGTAAACTCGTCGTAAATTGTACGACGCATTTACGACGATTTTGTTTGCCTCGACGTTACGACGAAACAAAGTCGTCGTATATTATACGACAATTTTACGACGATTTGTCTATTACGACGATGAGTTTACGACGATTTTGGAATCGTCGGTAATCCGTCGTAATGGCCCTATTACGACGAATTACCGACCATTTCGGCCGTCGTAAAATGATGTTTTTCTTGTAGTGTGAATACCATATGGGTCCTTATCAAGTATTGCCTTTGTGAGACCTGCCCTTACCTCAGCAAACAGTCCTGATTTCCCATTGCAATCCAGCTTATACTTCAGAGATCCATCGTCATCAGCCTAAGGAGTCAGAGTAAAATCTTGAGAAGAAGGGTCAGGTTCAATGCTCTTGTCTTTTGATGCTGAGCCATCACTCATGGTGTTCATCATCTTTAGATCAGCAAGTGTAGGAGACCATGAGAGCAAGATGTCTTCTTCTCTGATCAATGGCCCTCCATTCTCATAGTTGTAGCCATTGGGGTGAGGGTCTCTCTCCTTTTCCAAAGCTGAAAGAGATTGGGATCCACCTAGAATTTCCAGCAGTGCCCACATACTTCATCTCAAGTACCTTAGGGGGTTCTATCTCTTGAACAACTGATCCACAAAATTCAGCCAAAGGATGTGTAACAGGGTAAAAGACATCCTTATCCACCTTTGAAAGCACCACTCTTTGAGTATCAAAGTCAATCATTGCACCAGTGGTGTTGAGAAATGAAGTTTCAAGCAATAGGGGGAGCTCTTTGGTCTTCTTCATCTTCATGATCACAAAATCAGTGGGAATTATGCATTCACCAACCTGTAGTGGATATTTTTCCAAAAGCCCATATGGTTTCTTGGAGTAGGAATCTCCAAAGGTGATAGAAGAAGGGTAGGACGTTATAGACCTGACCTGTAGCTTCTCCATCATGTCCTTAGACATTATACTAACACTTGAGCCTAAATCACACAAAGCATTCTCAACCCTAAAGTTTCCAAGAGTGCAAGATATAGTGAATTTCCTTGGATTGCCTAGCTTTGGGAGGGAGGTGGGCTTTATCTGAGTTGATTCAGAGGTGGAGGCACTATCTGTTGGCTTTGCTTGACCAGTTGGCAGATCTTTTGTTTTAATAGACACTGAATCATTCCCTTGCTGAACAGAAAAAACTGAACCGGCTTCCCCCACACTTTTTCTCTCAATGTCCTCATTGAGTTCATGTAAGAAGCGCATGAAATCATCTATAATGGTGTCTTCATCCTCATGAGTTTGTGCAGTCTCACTAGAAACTTGACCATAAAGGAGATCTTCAATCTCTTGCACAGCAGCTGAGTGGTCAGCATAGGAGTAGATGGCATTGCAATAATCCTTTGGGTTTTGAAGAGATTTACCAGGAAGAGAGACTTGTGGTTCAGAAGTGCAGATGCCCTTGTTCTTTTTAATAGCCTTCAGTTCAGCGCCTAGTGTCTCCAGGTCGGATACCATCTTTTCTTGTCCTAGTAAGAGCTGTTGGAGAACAACATTGAAATCAGGACTTTGTTGAACTGGTGGTGGGGCAAAACCAGGAGGTGTTGGCCTTTGTTGCTGGAAGCTGAGTTGGTTATTGAAGCTGTTCCCTTGTGGCTGAGCTGTTGGCTGCTGAAAAGCTTGTTGACCTTGGAAGTTACCTTGGAACTGATTCTTTTTAGCAAAGCTTTGTTGACCTTGTTGGGGAGGGTATACTTGATCTTGGGGATTGGCTACATTGGTGCTTCTATAAGACAAGTTCTGGTTCTTGTTGAAGTTGTTGTAACCCTGAAACTTGTTCTGATTACCTATGTAGTTCAGTTCCTCTTGTGTAAGGCCCACTTAATTGATGTTCTCAAAGCAACTCCTCTCTTGAGACTCACCTACATAGTGTATAGGCTTTTGAGTGGCAACCAGGGCTTTTTTCAAGCTTGATATGCAGCTCTTTGATCTTCTCTTCCAACCTTTGTTGGGTACAGAGTCCTCACATATGTTGGCTCTATCAAAGTCTTCTCCATAGGTGTCTTGGCTCATGGCTAAGTTCTCAACAAGTTCCATGGCTGCAGTGATTTCTTTTGCCAAGAAATTCCCATTTGATGCTGTGTCCAACTGATTCCGGATCTTGGGAACAGCTCCTCTATACAAAGTGCTAAGGAAAGAGGCTTCTAAAAAGCCATGATGTGGACACTGATTTGTGTAGCTTCTAAACCTGTCCCAAGCTTCTCCAAAGGTCTCATTAGAATTCTGAGTGAAGTTTGAAATCTGGTTCCTTAGCTTGGCAGTCCTTGAGCTTGAGAAGAACTTAGATAAAAAAGCAAGCTTTCATTGCTCCCAAGTTTGGATTGATCCTCTTGGAAGGTTCTTCTTCCACTGGTGTGCCTTATCCCCAAGGCTGAATGGGAAAAATCTGAGTTTGAAGCTGTCCACAGATACTCCATTTATCTTTGTGAGATCACACACCCTGTCAAACTGATCTAGATGCTCCAAGGGATCCTCCATAGGTAAGCCATGGAACTTCTGATTCTGAACCATATTGATCAAAGAGGCCTTCACCTCAAAGTTGTTGTTTTGGACAGGAGGTGGCCTGACTCCTGCTCCATACTGGTGTGCATAAGCTCGGTCATTCTCACCAACAAAGACTGGTGGAGGCTGATGACATATGGGTGGGTTGGGGAAGGGTTGTGGCTGGTTAACTTGAGGTTGGTCTTGGTTCTGGTTACCCTGAGCGTGTCCCTGATGGACCTGAGCCTGTTGAACTTGAATTCCAATCCAATTACCAGCTCTTTGACCGTGATCAGCTTCTTGAGCCTGATGCTCATTCCCAACTTGCTGATCCATCATTCCTAACCTTTCCAAGTGAACTGCTCTTTTTCTTTGTCTTCTTGCTTGGCTTCTTGTAATCATAAAACTGGAAACAAAGACAGAACTTGAAAGGTGATCAGTACAACAAAAGAAACTTGATCTCAAAAACTATATCAGAAACTAAAATCCCCACACAATATGGCAACGGCGCCAATTGATAACTAAGGTTTTCAAGGCCTTAATAAGGGTTATCAATCCCTTAGCTGTTGCAGCATAAAGGGTATCAATCCATAAGTGTGGTTGCCAGACACTAGTTTATGTGATAAGCTCTTAAGTCAAGTGATCAAAGAAGAGTTTTGGTGTTAACAAAGTAACAAGAAAGCATAAAACTAGAAACAAGAAAAGCAATGATTAATGAACTAAACAAAGCAACAAAACAAGATGATGGTGCTTAAGCAAATGATGGAAGATAAGCCTCTAGGTGTGATCATTCATTAGGGTGCTTTCAATGCAAACTAATGATGCTAAACAACAATGCATCACTTGCTACTCTTTAGTCTAGGCTTCTTAATCAGATCAATCCACTCTCATGACAGAAATCCCTTTGCAAATCACTTAATCAAGTCTAACAACCATTAGAGATAACCAAGCAATCAACAAGCATAATGTTCCAAGCCTAATAAGTGACCAAACAATCTCTAACAAAGAAAGACTGAATCTTTAACAGAAAGACATAGCAAGCAATCACATGATCTCTAATCCAATCAACTTAGAGTTTAAAGCCAGATTAATCCTCTCATGAAGGTATTAATCTCTATATTAATCCATTTTCAAACCAAATTCTCATTTGTGAAATATGAACTAGTAAGCATTAAGAATCAACTCTAATATGTAATTTATGCAATTAACAAACATCACCATGGTATTAATGCATAAACCCTTACTTAGCTTTCATTCAGACATTTCATCAAACAATTTTGGTGCATGAAAAACTCAGATTCTAGACCCAAGTGATGTGCAAGGATCTAGCATTAGGATCAGCTATCTAAGGAAAGGAGAAGAGAATCTAAGCCTAAACAATCATTAATCTACATCTAAGCACCCTAAATCTACACACCTAGATGCTTAAAGAGGGACTACTCTCTAATCATACTTAACTCTCCTAAACCTTTGCAAGTAGAGTAGTTAAGCATGATTAGAGATTAGAAATGAAGATGGAGATGATAGAGGATGATTGATTTCAGCTTTAAACACAAAGTACTCTCTTGATTCAAACCCAGAAAATGAAGATCTCTCTTACAAAATAGAGTCTTTCACAAAAGAGGCAAAGAAACAAAGGGAATAAAGGTTTTTCTAATCACTAAAGTCTCAAAACTATTTATACTAAGGGTTTTCTTAATGGGCCAACCCTTAACAAACAGAATATTGGCCCATTAAAATCTTAAAATTCGGACTGGATCGAAGGAAATATCGACGGGCTGCTGGTCGATAGTTTGCAAAGCTTCTCTTAACAAAAATATCGACCAAACACCTGGTCGATGGTTTGGTCGATATTGTTTCGGCGAGATTGGCTGAGAATATATCGACATGCTCCACCTCGATATTCTGGTCAATATTATTTCGGCGTCCCAGGTAGAAAATATCGACCACCTCTCATCTGGATGCTTCTCGTCGATATGAATGCAAACCGTCTGAACGAAAACCTTCATTTATCCCAGCTCAGTGGTCCGAACCTCGTTCGGT